AATGCTAGTTTCCAGAGCTCAGGGAAAGTCGTACGAGGAAAGTTGAGGGAAATCAGACTGACGACAGTGGAGGACAGAAGGTACAGGGGAGACATGAATAACGACATACAAAAACTGCGGGAATAGACCAAGGTATGACAGAGACAGGATGTTCCAAGATGGTACACAGAAACAAGGGGTCACAATTTGAAGCTGAAGACTCAGACGAGCACAGGGATTGTTAGAATTATTTCTTTCAGTCACAGAAGAGTCGTCAGAAGTGAATAGCCAAGCAAGTTGAAGTAATGGAGGCAGGAACCATACATAGTTTTAAGAAGAGGTATGACAAAGCTCAGGAAGCAGAGAGGAGAGGACCTAGTAGCGACCAGTGAAGAGGCGGGGCCAGGAGCTGAGTGTCGACCCCTGCAACCACAATTAGGTAAATACACACAGGAGGAAAACCTCCTCTGATCGTCTAGAAAATATCAACACTGGTGTGTCCTTAGAAGAAGGTTGGTGTTGCTAGTGAAGTTTATAGATGCCATTTTGACATTGAATCTCAATAGAGTATTGCAAGATCTTCCTTTGATGCAGGTGAAAGGCTTTTGATCCATGAAATTGGACTCAATATCCTCTTATTGAAATGAATCGGAATGCATAACATTCTATAGGTGCTGAAGGACTGATTCTTTCCAATAACTCTAGAATGCTTCTTCTTCTCGGCTTGTAACTTTTAGTGCCATTGTGTTTTTTCCTGAGTAGAAACTTTGCCTTAATTTAAGGCTGTGTAAGTTTTAATATGCTGATTTTATATTTCAATTTCGTTTCATGCAATAAATTGGTAATGTCCTCTTCTGTATCATAAATAAATCACAATAAAATAACTTCATTGGGTTACCTTAGGTTAAATCTACATAAGGATCATTCAATAAATGTTACTTAATTACTTATTTACAACTACACTTACTTAAACGTTTGACGATGGTAAATCTTGCATAGTAAAAAACGATTAATTTCGTCCTGTATTGACACCAACTTGCGTCTTGTTATAGAAGAAACAAGCATAGTTAAAATACTGATTTTCAGGTGATAATTTCTGAGTGCCTCATCTAATTATCTTTAACTTCCAACACTGATTGCTGGATAATTCAAATTCTAACTGGCTTTAAACTTACTGTGCTGATGTATTTAAGATATTGAGACTTCTGAGATAATATGAAAATATCTCTACTTTCTCTTCAAGTAAAGTAAAATGGGGAGATAGTTCCCAAGTGATACTGGTGAATGCCAATCCTGATTGGCTTCAAATCTTCACTGTAAATATTTAAGAACACTCTGCAGTGACGTACAGGGAAGGTATGAACTTGGGAAGAGTTTACTGGGACAGCTCAGCTGCCGGAAAACATTAGTTCTTTACTTCCTTACCTGGAGTTTACCTGGAGAGGGTTTCGGGGGTCAGCGCCCCCGCCGGCCCGGTCTGAGACCTGGCCTCATAGTGGATCAGGGTCTGATCAACCAGGCTGTTACTGCTGGCTGCACGCAAGCTGACGTACGAACCACAGCCCGGTTGTTCAGGTATTGACTTTAGGTGTCTGTCCAGTGCCTTCTTTGAAGACAGCCAGGGTCTATTGGTAATACCCCCTTAAGTATAGCTTGGAGGCATTGAGCATCCTTGGGCGACCTGACACTTATGTTTTGTCTCACAGTGTACTCTGGCGCCGCTGCTTTTCCCACGGGAAATGTTCTCTCCTGCCCCGAGTCTTTCGCTTTTCATATGTGAGTGATTTTCGTGTGCAGGTGGTAACCAATCCCCAAGGGGGGAGGCTCCAGGACCTCCAAGTGTCTATTATGATATATCCTCTCCCTGCGTTCGGAGGGAATCAGATCAAGTACCTTCAACTGTTCCCAGTAGTTTAGGTGTCTTATCGGACTTATGTGTCCGTGCAAAGGTTCTTTGTACACTCCCAGTCTGCAATGTCGTCAGCCTTGAAGGGGGCCGTTATGTACAGCAGTATTCCAGCTACAAGAGCACAAACGATTTGAAGAGAATCATCATGGACTGCATCCCACAAGTTTTTGAAGGCTTTTCATTATCCATTGTATCATTTTCCTAGCAATGAGGTAGATACATTGTTGTGGCTTTATGAAGGCGAGATCCATCTGACATTATCACTCTCAGTCCTTCAACATTACTTTTGTCCGCTCTATTGTATGTTAGAATTTGTGGTAAACCCTGACACATTTTAATTTCTTCAAGTTTTCAATATCAGAGTATTGAATTTCTCTCGTTGAAACTTCATATTTGTTTTGAGTGACCATTCGAAGAATTTGAGAGTTGATGTCGTCTTGGAGTCTCGCAGTGTCTCCGCAAAGGTGTTCTCGGTGTCATCCGCAAAAGCAACAAGGAGCTATGGCTTACATCTAGTTCTCCATTCTATTCCTACATGAGGATGAGGAATAGAATGGGAGCAAGTACAGTGCCTTGTGGAACAGAGCCTTTTTACCGTGGCTGCCTGGGAGTTTACTCTGTGTACATACTCTTTTGTTCTATATGTCAGGTAAGTTGTAGATCCATCTTACCAAACTTTTTATACGTTTTTTCCTTATCTCCCCCAATTTGTGTACTATTACATAACCATGGTCCACACTTTTCGAAAGCTTTTGCAAAGTCGTGTATACTAACATCTTCTGTAATTTTGTTTATCCTCTACCGCACCAGGACCTTGTCATAGTGGTCCAGTAGCTGTGACAGGCAGGACCGACCTGCATCTAACCCGTGCTACCACTGTGTTGTGTAACTGATGGGCCTTCTAGGTGGTTGGCTGTCTTGCTTCTTAAACTCTCGTTAAGATTTTTATGATATGGATGTTGGTGGCTATCAGTCTGTAGTTCTTTGCAATTGCTTTCCTGCCACCTTTGTGGAGTGGGGCTATTATGTTTTATTTAGTGGTTTTGGATTGACCCTTGTGTCCATGATTCCTGCTCCCTCTCTCCAGAAAATGCTGAAGGCACGCGATAGGACTTCATGCAGTTTCCATGATGAACACGGAGTTTTCCACGAGTCGGGCCTGGGCAAGTACGTGGGCAAGTCATTAATTGCCTCTTTCAAAATCTTGTGGCGTTATATTAAGTCCGAAGTTTTGGATGGTCCCCCCCAAATTTCGGGTTTCGTTCATAAAGAATTCATTTGGATTGGTAGACCCCTTAGAGTGGGGGAGTGATCGCTGAAAACTGATCATATGAGAACATTAGTATCTCACTCAATTCCTGGCATCCATCTTGGTCTGCCCATCCTGCCCTAAGCAGGGCCGCCCAATACAGGATGTGTTTTCCCCTTAATATTGATTGAAGAGAAGAAGTATTTTTTTTCAGTTCCCTTTAGATTTATGTTCTTCCTGCGAATCTTGTCTCCTAAAAAGATTTCTTCAGCTTAAGTTCGATATTTGCAATATCATTGACTAGTGCTTCCCTCGTATTTCAATATATTGACTCCACTCATCAGCTCTGTGACTATTTCTCTTCGATCTGTCTATGAACTTCTCAACTTTCTAGTTTGCATCGTCTCTTTCTTTTTCCTAAAGAAAATGTGTCGTTGATCAGATCACAAGAACCACATAATTCATTTTTTCAAGGCAATGTTCGGGTCCCTGTTGTTAGGATATCTTCCTAATCTTGTGTCCATTTAGGACATGGTTACTTTTGATCCCATTGTTATGTTTTTGTTATTGAAATTAATTTCGTGAAGAGACGTTCAATGACTGCCACACATTTGCTGTCCGGAACCCTGTGCATTCTGTCTGTACCTCTATAATGTTGGCTGATCTGATGAATTGTCCTTTGATATTTATATATGTATCAGACCATCGTTGTTTAGTGAAGAAGAGGTCCAGTGTATTTTCTAGACATGTAGGCTCTACTATATGCTGATTAAGGTGAAATTGTTGCGATAATTTAATAGTTCTGTGTTTTGTGAATTTTCATCTGAGGCTGCCATCCGGGGGACTCTGCTAAAACATTTAATTTGCTATACTCCTCCAATTTTTAGGTGTCTCATGTTAAGTCTCCATAGTAAGATGTTTGGGGCAGGAGGAAGTATCTATCTTTCAGATAAGTTTATGAATTCAGTTTAGTAAAATTTCTATTGCTGCATCCTTGATATTGATGATACAGGTTATGATGTTTACCTTGGGAAAAACTGCTAATGATTTACTGTTGTGTGCAAGTCAAAACTGTAGGATGCCACAATAATCAATAATTTTCTTTCAACCCTGCAGGTGGCGTACCCGTTCCTGCACGAGCTACTTCATCATTGTCACTACCCAGGATTGATTACCTCAGAGTGCCTCCTTGGCAATGTTTTTCATCCAGTTAACGTCCCCCAACTCTCGAAGCGATTTCACCACGCCCCGTACACCATCAGGTTCAGGAGTTCGCTTTCATAAACACCCTGGTTCAAATAGATTAGCATTTAAGCTGTCGCAAGTGGCCAGTCATATCCTCTTGTGCAAAGGATTAATACAACGAAGAGACAGCCAACATTAACTAAAAATTGTAATGCTTTCCGATTTCCCTCTTTTCTCTAATGATTGACCCGGTATAGACTGAAATGCTTTAATATTGTCATTAATATCAAACTAAAATATTATATATTAAAGCTTAAGTAATTAATTTTAGAAAATGTCATTATATTAATATTATCCAAAAAAATGTTGCATCTATATTGTCGGATTTAGGAGTTAAAATGAGTTTGTATGAGAGAAGTACTCGTAAATAACAAAAAGGGCACAATACCGTGACTAGAACAATACACAAATAACCCGCACATAGAAGAGAAGAGCTTACGAAGACCTTTCGGTCCGACTTGAACCATTTACATTTCTCTCCTTTTCGTTAGTGTGACTTTGTAAGTGGTCCAAGTCGGACCTAAACGTCGTCGTAAGCTCCTCTCTTCTATGTGCGGGATATCTGTGTAGAAGTACTCGTATGGGTACAGTAAGTAGCTGATGGTATTCCTCAGATCTCAGCCCAGTTCCCAGAGCTGCCGCCGCTGTTGGACATAGAGAGGAACATGAGTCTAGCGCTGTTGAACTCACACTTTACCTTCGGCCTGCCAGTGCCCCTCTTACCCTCCCAAGTGGAGGTGGGTGCCATGCACTGTCGTCCAGGCAACCCCCTGCCTCAGGTAAGGCAACCCCCGACTTATGTCAGTTGTCACGGCTACTATCCTGGTCAGTTGTCACCTCTCTTCCTTTTCCCTACTCCCCTCTACCACACTGGTTGATAGCTTATGATGTTAATGCATCAGTATATAGACTTAATTAGTGCTCAACTCTGAGACAGGAAGCTAGCATGCAGATGACACAGAATGAAAATTTTTTTTGCCTAGCACACGGGAAACCTTGTATTCTAGTGTATAAACCGTAGATACTAGTGCATAAACCGTGGATACTATTGTATAAACCGTGGATACTAGTGTATAAACCGTGGATACTAGTGTAAAAACCGTGAAACTAAACGATAAAAACCGTGGATACTAGTTATGTAAACCGAGATACTATGAGCATAAACCGTGAACTAGAGTATAAACCGGGATATTAACGTATAAACCATGGATACTTGTATGCCAATCGTGGATACTAGTGTATAAACACTGAGTAATCAATGCCATAATATGCCTTAGCTGGTGTCTTGTGGGTGAGTGATTCATGCACTGGTGTGTCTGATGGGTGAGTGATCCATGCACTGGTGTGTCTGATGGTGATGAACCATGCACTGGTGTTTCTGATGGGTGAGTGATCCATGCACTGGTGTGTCTGATGAGTGAGTGATTCATGCACTGGTGTGTCTGATGGGTGAGTGATCCATGCACTGGTGTGTCTGATGGGTGAGTGATTCATGCACTGGTGTGTCAGATGGGTGAGTGATCCATGCACAGGTGTTCTGATGGTTGAGGTGCCATCACTTGTGTGTCTGATGGTGATGATCCATCACTGTGTGACTGATGAGTGAGTGATTCCTGCACTGGTGGTGTCGATGGTGAGTGATCCATGCACAGGAGGTCTGATGGTGAGTGATTCAGCACAGTGTGTCTGTGGGTGATTGATCCATGCCACTGTGTGTCTGATGGTTTGATTGATCCATGCCCTGGTGTGTCGGATGGGTGAGTGATCCATGCACTGGAGTGTCTGATGGTGAGTGAATCCATTCAAGGTGTGTCTGATTGGTGAGTGATCCATCACTGGTGTTCTGATGTGTGAGGTGATCCATGCACTGTGTGTCTGAATGTGTGAGTGACGATGCACTGGTGTTCTGATGGTTGAGGGATCCATGCACTGTTGTGTCTGATTGGTGAGTGATTCGATGCCTGTGTGGTCTGAAGGGTGAGTGATCCAGCCACTGGCGGTCTGATGGTAGGGATCCCATCACTTGGTGTGTCTGAGATTGAGAGTGACTTCATGCAACTGGAGTGTCTGAAATGGGTGAGTGATCCATGCACTGGTGTGTCTGATGGGTGATGATCCATGCACTGGTGTGTCTGATGGGGTGAGAGATCCAAGCACTGGTGTGTCCGGATGGGTGAGTGATCCATGCACTGGTGTGGTCTGATGAGGTGAGTGATCCATGCACTGTTGTAGTCGATGGGTGATTGAACGATGCACTGGTGGTCTGATGGTGAGTGATCCAGCACTGTGTGTCTATGGGTTAGTGATCCATGCACTGGTGTGGCTGATGAGTGAGTGATTCATGCACTGTTGTGTCTGAATGGGATAGTGGATCCATGCACTGTGTGTACAGATGGTGATGATCCATGCAACTGGTGTTCAGATGGGTGAGTGATCCATGCACTGGTGTTGTCTGATGGTTGAGTGATCCATGCACTGGTGTGGTCTGATGGGTGAAGTGACCCATGCACTGGTGTGTCTGATGTGTGAGTGGACGCATGCACTGGTGTTTCTGATGGGTGAGTGATCCAGCACAGGGTGTCTGATGGTGAGTGAATCCATGCACTGGTGGTGTCTGATGAGTGAAGTGATTCATCACTGGTGTGTCTGATGGGTGAGGAACCTGCCTGGTGTGTCTGATGGTGATGATCCAAGCACTGGGTGCTGATGGTGAGTGATCCATGCACGGTGTGTCTGATGGTGAGTGATCCATCAACTGGTGTGTCTGAAGGTGAGTGATCGATGCACTGGTGAGAACTGATGGGTGAGTGATCCATGCACTGTGTGTCCGCTGAGTGAGTGATCCATGCACTGGTGTGTCCGATGGTGAGTGATCGATGCACTGGTGTGCCTGAAATGGGTGAGTGATCCTGCACTGGTGTTTTCTGATGGGTTAGTGATCATGCACGGTGTGTCTGATGTGAGTGATCCATGCACTGGTGTGTCTGATGGTGAGTATCCATGCACTGGTGTGTCTGATGTTGATGATCCATTCACTGGTGTGTCGGATGGGTCGTGATCCATGCACTTGGTGTATCTGATGGTTTAGTATCCATGCACTGGTGTGTCTGATGGGTGAGTGATCCATGCACTGTGTGTCTGATGGGTGAGTGATATCCATGCACTGGTGTGTCCTGATGGTGAGTGATGCCATGCACTGGGGTGTCCTGATGGGGTGAGTGATCCATGCACTGGTGTGTCGGATGGTGAGTGACCATGCACTGTTGTTCTGATGGTGAGTGATCCATCACTGGTGTGTCTGAGGGTGAGTGATCAATCACTGTGTGTCTTGATTGGGTGAGTGATCATGCACTGGTGTGTCTGATTGTGAGTGATCCAAGCACTGGTGTGTCCTGATGGGTGAGTGATCCATGCACTGGAGTGTGTCTGATGGTGAGTGATCCATGCACTGGTGTGGTCTGATGGTAGTGATCGATGCACAGGTGGGTGTCTGTGGGTGAGTGATCCAGTGCACTGTTGTGTCCTGATGGGGTTGAGTGGATCGCATGCACTGTGGTGTCTATGGTGTGATTGATCCATGCACTGGTGTTGTTCCTGATGGGTAAGTGAACCATCACTGGTGTGTTCTGATGGGTGAGTGATCATCACTGGTGGGTCTGATGGTTGAGTGATCATGCACTGGTGTTCTGATGGTGAGTGATCCAAGCACAAGTGTGTCTGATGGTGAGTGGATCCATGCACTGGTGTGTCTGATGTGAGTGATCCATTCACTGGTGTCTTATTGTGAGTGATCCATGCACTGGTGTGTCCTGATGGGTGAGTGATCTTGCACGGGTGGGGTCTGGGATGGGTGAATGATCCATGCACTGGATTGTCTGATGGGTGAGTGATCCATGCACTGTGTGTCTGATGGGTGAGTGACCTGCACTTGAGTGTGTCGAAGGGTGAGTGATCCATGCACTTTTTGTGTGCTGATGGTGAGTTATCCAAAGCACTGGTGTGTCTGATGGGTGAGTGATCATGCACTGGTGTGTCTGAATGGGTGATGGATCCATGCACTGGTGTGGTCTGAAGGGTGAGTGATCATGCACTGGTTGTCCTGAGGGTAGTGAGCCATGCACTGGTGTGTCGATGGTTGGAGTGATCCATGCCTGTGTGTCTGATGGTGAGTGATTCAGTCACTGGTGTGTCTGATGGTGAGTTATCCAGCCTGGTGTGTCCTGATGGGTGAGTGATCCAGGACTGGTGTGTCTGAATGGGTGAGTGATCCATGCACTGGTGTGTCTGATGGGTGAGTGATCCAGGCACTGGTGTGTCTGATGGTGAGTGATCCATGCACTGGTGGTGTTCTGATGGTGAGTGATCCAGGACATCTGGTGTTCTTATGGGTGAGTGATCATGCACAGGTGTGTCTGATGGTTGAGTATCCAGGGCACTGGTGCGTGTCTGATGGGTGAGAGACCCAGGCACAGGTGTGTCTGATGGGTAATGATCCATGCACTGTGTGTCTGATGGTTGAGTGATCCACACTGGTGTGTCGGAAGGTAGTGAACCATGCACTGGTGTGTCTGATGGGTGAGTGATCCATGCACTGGTGTGTCTGATGGGTGAGTGATCCAGGCACTGGTGTGTCTGATGGGTGAGTGATCCATGCACTGGTGTATCTGATGGGTGATTAGAACCATGCACTGGTGTGTCTGATGGGTGAGTGATCCAGGCACTGGTGTGTCTGATGGGTGAGTGATCCATTCACTGGTGTGTCTGATGGGTGAGTGATGCATGCACTGGTGTGTCTGATGGGTGAGTGATTCCAGGCACCTGGTGTGTCTGTGGGTGAGTGATCCATGCACTGGTGTGTCTGATGGGTGAGTGATCCATGCACTGGTGTGTCTGATGGGTGAGTGATCCATGCACTGGTGTGTCTGATGGGTGAGTGATCCATGCACTGGTGTGTCTGATGGGTGAGTGATCCATGCACTGGTGTGTCTGATGGGTGAGTGATCCATGCACTGGTGTGTCTTAAGGGTAGTGATTCCATGCACTGGTGTGTCTGATGGTGAGTGATCCAAGCCACGTGTTCCTGATGGTGAGTGAGTCCATGCCAGCACTGGTGTGTCCTGATGGGTGAGTGTATCCATGCACTGGTGTGTTCATAGATGGTTGAGTGATCCATGCACTGGTGTGTCTGATGGGTGAGTGATCCATGCACTGGGTGTCCTGATGGGAAGTGTCCATGCACTGGTGTGTCTGATGGTGATTTATCCATGCACAGTGTGTTCTGATGGTGAGTGATCCATGCACTGGTTGTACCCTGATGGGTGTATGTGATCATGCACTGGTGTGTCTGATGGGTGAGTGATCCATGCACTGGTGTGTCTGATGGGTGAGTGATCCATGCACTGGTGTGTCTGATGGGTGAGTGATCCATGCACTGGTGTGTCTGATGGGTGAGTGATCCATGCACTGGTGTGTCTGATGGGTGAGTGATCCATGCACTGGTGTGTCTGATGGGTGAGTGATCCATGCCCCATTAGTGGTCTGATGGTGAGTGATCATGCACTGGTGTGTCCTGATGGGTGATTGATCCATGGCACTGGTGTGTCTGATGGGTGAAAGATCCAGCACTGGATGTGTCTGATGGGTGAGTGATCCATGCACTTGGTGTTCTGATGGGTTTTGATTATCCATGCACTGGTGTAGTCCTGATGGGTGAGTGATCCATTCTCTAGGTGTGTCTATGGGTAGAGTGACCCATGCACTGGTGTGTCTGATGTGTGAG